GGCTTAAATCTGTTTTTGAAATAGCCATTGTAGTGTTTAATATGGCTGAGTAAATTGTAGGTTTGTTTCTTGGAAGCATAGTATGTTTGGATTAAAGTCAGAAATAATTCGTTGTATGTCTACATGGCATTTATAAATCCATTGTATTATGCTCATATTATTTGTGTTTTAATTTGTTTATATCTTTATTTATTTAGTAAGTGCCTTTGTTCTAGATTTTGTTTTGTGACGGTATTTTATTGGTTTTATGATGTTATTGTATGTTTTTATATTCTTGGGATGATTGTATTTGGAAAAGTAGATTAGATAATTTGGATTTTATTGATTTATCATTAATATAAGGCCGAATTTTTTCTTTTACTTCTATTATTGTGGGTATATTAGATCCAATTTCATCACATATTGTATATATATTATTATGCTTATTACCAAAGTTTTCTACCAAATATTTGAATTGTAGATACTGTGATGGTGTCACGTTTTCATAATCGTGAGAATTATTTTAATAAAATACAGACAGCACATCCGCTGCCTGAGACTGATGAATTAACAAATAATATTTATTGCCAAATCGGCAATAAGTGTAATTATTATAAAAACCCAATAGACCTGACCATCGTGGTCAGTCGACTCCAGTGCCTTGTGTCATTCATCAGTCTCAGTACTCGGTTGTCGCTGTCCGGCTTACTGTTTAAAGTAAAGTCTTTGTTTATTCCTTTTCTAACCTATATACTCTTTTCCTCGACATTTCAGAGTACTTGTGTCTTGCACTTCGTCTGCACCTCATACTCGGCTACCCCGTTCTCTCTCTGAAGTACTTGTATCTTGCACTTCGTCTGCACCTCGTACTTCATTATCCTCTCCTAATAACTAAAGTACTTGTGTCTTGCACTTCGTCTGCACCTCATACCTAGGTGTTACTCTTATTCTCCCTTCCTATAACAACAGCCTTTCGACACCCACAGCTAACCCGGAGTGTCAGCCGAGCACGGTGACTGCTGTACGACAACACGCACGTGAATACCTAGACAGCAGGCACCACCTCCTCATATTCATCTTCGTACACACAGTTACACAAATACACTTACACATAGTTTTTCTCTTTCCTGTGTTACGACAATACGTTATCTCGCTACTGTTATTGTTGCTTAAAAAAAAAGGTTCAGATAGTTTTAAGGCATTGTCAATGTTTTTGTCATCTAACTGGAGCGTGAGAGTACTTTAGCTTTTTTTTTATTTGGTTGTTGTAGTATAGTGGGAGATTGCGGTGTTGCTTGAGATGATGTGTCCGATAGAGGCCTTTTCGTTAAATCTAGGAGAGGGTCATCTGAATTATCATTTTTATTTTCGTTGTTAATTGTTTTTATGGTTATTATCAATATTAGGATTATGTTGTAGTGTTTTAAATTGCGCCCTTTCTTTGTAAGTGATATATTTAGAGAGGGTCGTCTTATCAAGCGTTGGATATTCAGTAAGGTCTGCCCAATCAATCCGATTGTTGGCGAAATCTACGTCCATCAGTGGGCTGTCGGGAGGCCAGACGTTCTCCAAGATATCGGCGTTATCGTCTATAGGTGGCATTAGTTGTTCTGTTGGTTCATTATATAATTTAGGTTCTTGGTTCAAGCTATTTGTGTTATTTTTACATGACATTGAAGTGTGGCCTATTGATTTACACGTGAAGCAGGTAATTTTGTTGTCTGTAAAAATAATTCTGAATTAGGTTTCATTTGCGTGAACTAGAAGTGTTCCTGGTAGTTTCGGAATATCATCGTGTTTAATAACAATTTGGCGACGGAAGCTTAATATATGTTCATATCCCGCTTTTTTAATTCCTGCTTTTAGATAATTAATTTTCGATATAGGTGTTATGTTGATATTAGTTAATGTAATTATTATTACTTGGTTTGGGATGGAGGGGCATACGTTCGATATGATTATTCGTTTGGCTGGGTTGAGTAGTTTACGAATAGGTATTTCGTGTTCATTTATTTTTATTAAATTTTTTCTTTTTTTCTAATAAGGTGTTTAATATTTTTTCGCTTGCTAAAAAAATGCATACACGGCCCATTGATATCTTAGAAACAAATATGATATTAGAAGGTGAGATTATCTGGCCAATAACGATAATGTAATCTTTTAGTAATAGTCTGTCAAACGGGTGTAACACAATAGTCTGTTCTCTTCTAGGTATGTTTGACGTTGCTAAGGCGAAGTTCAAATTATTATTGTTATTAGATAATATAGGTGGTTAATCTTGAGTAGTTTGTGGCGATGAACAGGTCGCGGTTTTAGTGGTGGAGGAGGTGGTACTTGGTATTTGTGTTGTGGAAGTGGCTGAACGCGGAGCACCGCGGAAACCGGTTTGATCTACATTAGTTGAGTGGGAAGTTGGGATATTGATTTTAGAATTTATTAATGTTTTTGGTTTATTTAATGCATTAGAAGTGATGGGTATAATCGAATGATTTCGATAATCGAATGATTAGTAATCGAGACATTTTCATAATCGAGTGAATCTCTCGAAAAATCACTCGAAGTTAAAATCGTCTGCTCGTATGATAAGAATAATCAACTATTATTATTTATCGAGAGAATCGAAAAATTATTCGAAATATGAATAAATATACCTATAGTAAGTAATTATTAATTTAATTTTGCTTTTTTTATTTGTTGGTGTTTATTTATAATTATTATATTAAACTATAATTTAGGAATAATAATAACAATAATATATTAATAATGCATTATTAATAAGTGCTTTAAATAAAAGACAAGTTGTTATTTTTATTATTTAATAATTATTACCTATATTTTAAAAAAACCGATAACAAATTTAAAAATAAAAACATAAGATAAGGTAGCAATAGCCGGCTTGACCATCATAATTAAAACACCTGATTCCACACCTAATTGATTTTTCATAAATTCACAACTAGTGAGAGAATCAGAACTCAGTAGTTTAGCCAGTTCAGGACAAAACTTTGTTCTAATCGTCACATACTTCCCAAAAATGTGACAGATAAGGTGTTGTCATGAGTAGCGATTGAACGAGTTGAAAATAAGAAGACTTGAAGTCAACAATTTAATAATAATTCGACTATAATTTATGCTAAATAAAAACTTAAAAATAGTATTCTCTCGTTTCATCGTTTCATGGACATCATTCGAAATAACTTTTATTCGATTATATACATTTCAAGATCAAGAAATCATTGTTTTTATAATAAACGAGAAATCATTAGAAATAATCATTCGATTATAGAATAATGAATATTATTTAAAAAATCAGAATATCTCGATTATATAATAGATATGATTTCAATAATCGAAATATCTCGATTATATATCTCGATTATGCCCATCACTAATTAGAAGTTTTAGGTCTGTTAGTGTGATTTGTTTGTAGTTTAATTTGTTAGGGGGGCTCTGTGTTGAGAGCGATTGTTTGGGCTGAGAGCCCAGTTTGTTAAGATTTATTTGGATAAGTAAAGTTGGTTTTAAACAAAAAAAGTCATACTACCTGTTAGCGTGCGTAAAGACAATATGCTATCGGAGCTTGAAAAGCGATAACGCGATAATGAATACACGTATTGCACTGTCGGGTGTGGAACACGTACTATATATATATTATTTCTCATAAAAATTGTATTGATCCATACACTTTTCAATAATTTATAGCATTCTAAAGCTAAAAATGTAAAATATAAAATCGAGAATTTTCACATAAAACAATTATTTGGTAACTTTTTTTACCGTGAAGACAAAATAAAGTCCGAAATTTTTTTTTCCGTAATAAAGTATATTATATTGTCTTAAAATTAATATATATATATATAACTGTTAGTATTTCCAGAACACTTTCAAAAGTTAATTTTTTGTGACAAAGTTGTCATTTTGAATCCACCCCTGTGGGTAGGAAAAAGATCAGATTTATAAAAAAAAATCTACCAAATGATAGGTACAGACATCATGCATCTATAAAAAAAAATTATACTCATCCATACATTTTTCAAAAAGTTATGGCAGTTTTAAATATTGAAATTAAAAAATATTTTTATATTGAAATCAATATAAAAATATTGAAAAAATTAGCAATTTTTAAATTTGTAACTTTTTTGGAGATTTTCCACACTTACGGGGAATAACGGACCTTTTTCAATTTTTTAGGGTAATGGTCTTCGACTAAATTTGTAATCTTTTGATGTATCGTTGAAAGTAATCAGTTGAGTGAGAGCTGAGAAAAAGTGGTAATAGACAAAAAAAAAAAACTCATCACAGTAAAATTGATACCTTTTCAGCTTTACATCTAAGCTAAAAAAATAAAGTAGTGGGATCAGGTGAAGTGCCAGTAGAAATATGGAAAATATTAGACGGTGTTGGCATAAGGAAGTTGAAGGAACTTTTAAATAAAATCTATTAGAAGTGAAAATCCCAAATAAATGGAGGAATAGTAATTTAATAGTATATAATATTAATAATGATAATTAATAGATTACAAGTTTGATAAAGGAGAACACGAGGTAGGTTATATGAGGAGTTCGGTGACAATAAGCGAGGACATGATTGGAGAAGTGGAAAGTTTTAAGTATTTAGGATCAGTTGTGCAAAAGAGCAGTGGTATTGACGAGGATGTAAGACACAGGATTAAGTGCGGGTAGTTGAAGTAGAGATAAGCGTCTGGTGTCTTATGCCTTATGTTCGGTGAGAGCTGAGAAAAAGTGGTAACAGACACAAAAAAAGAATTTTTCTTCTGGAACATAATAATAATTTTTCGGAACATTTTTTAGACGAGCAATGACTTGAAATTCTGGGTTATTTTGCAGATATATTTGAAAAACTAAATTGTCTAAATTTAAGCCTACAAGGGAAAAATACTAATATTTTATTTCTTTCTGATAAAATCAATGCTTTTAAAAAGAAAATTCTACTGTGGAAAAATTATATCGACGATGACAAATTTTAAATTTTTTCATGTTTATCAGAATTTCTTAATGATAATGACGTAGATATTAATATGATAAAAGAAATTATAACTGCTCATTTAATAAGTTTACAAACAAATTTTAATGCACGGATTGAAGATTTCCCAGAAGAAAGTCTAGGTTGGATAAGAAATCCATTCCATTTTAATATCAATGAAATAAAATTAGGAAATTTAAAAATAAGCGAAGAACTTATTGACTTGTCATCAGATGAAAATCTACGTATCAGATTTCAAGAAAATGCATGTGATACATTTTGGATTTCCATCAAATCTGAATATCCAGAATTATCAAAACAAGCCATATCAATTTTACTTCCTTTTGCATCAACTTATTTATGCGAAACACCATTTTTAACACTAACGACAACTATAAACAAATATCGCTCCACATTAAATGTTGAAGCTGATTTACGAGTAGCAGTGTCAAATATCAAACCAAACATAGAATCAATCATGTCTACAATGCAATCTCAGGTCTCTCATTAAAATAATTAAATAGTAATTTTAAAAATATTAAAATTTTGATTATCATTATAATAATACATTTTTTAATTTTAGATTTTATAAAACTCTAATTTTGAATTTTTCTTTTCATGTTTTTGATTAATTAAATTAAAAAAATATTAAAATTGCCTAAAATTAACGATTTAATGTATATGAATAAAATGTTTGTATACATTAAAACTATTAAGTAAATTTATATTGTACACTTACATAATGTTGGTAGGAAGGGTGCCGTATTATTAAAATAAATCATTTTGGGGGGTCTTGGATCAAAAAAGGTTGCGCACCATTGCTTTACACAACTAGCAAATCTATTCCACACATTATTTATATCCCTCGACATTCCACACCGACCTCTCATTTACCGTTTTTAAAAACTATTTTTCATTTTCCCCTTTCAATTTTCACCATCAGATCCTCGATTTTTCTCCTGTTTTTGTATATTCTCTTCCCACTACACCGCAACTCCAAAACACCACGTCCTATTAATACATAAATATGCTATTTGGCTACATTTAAGATTATATCCATGATATTAAAAATATTACATAAGGTATACCCATACACTCACCATTCCAAATTAAACTATTTTAAAAAATGATTCCATATAGTATCTATGTAATTGGATATAATATTTTGGAATTTTATATTATTTACTAAGTAGAGAAATTCGGTTGTCGCCCTCAATTTGCTGTGATGTTACGGTGGTATATATAATAGTAAACATATTTGTGCTACCACCATGCGTCAGTTCTTTATTATCCGTGCGGCCACTGAATTGTTTAAATGTATGCTTCGTGGTATTATGCCACTACATCTAGCGGTAGGAAAAAGCGTTTACACTATCTAATTAATTGGTAACTAAGGGGTAATTGAAATATATTAGTGATAAGAAGTTGGTGGACCTAAATTGGTAGCTTCACACTCGAATTTTTTGAATGTATTAATTTATTTGTGAAAATATGTTTTGTAATATTTCATTTAATACCTTCCTAAATCGATATTGCCATAAAAAATTCTGCATGATATACGTATGACAAACGATTTTTCCAGTAATAAGTCTAATTTATAAAATAATTAGATTTTTACAAAAAAAAAAGAAGAATTACCAAAATAATTAACGAGTGAGCAGAATAGGCTGGTTAGATCTAATTTAAATTCAATTCAATTTCCAATACTTATGGCAATCTTAGATGTTCGCGAACCGAATCTTTAACAAAAATTTCTGATCAGCTAGAATTTTTTTAATATATTGATATAAACTTTTTTAAATAAGTCCACAATAAGGATTGACGTATAACAATTTCATTTACGTAATGCTACTTATAATAATCTACTCGAATTATGGTTTTCTCTAAACAATCATGCTAGGATATGAAAAATATTCATTGATGTAACACATACAGCTTTTAATTTACAATCAAACAATTAATTTTGATGCATTTAATGTTTCCAAGTATTGCCCTTTAAATGTCACCAATTTTGTTATGCCCAATTATAGGAAAAAAGATTAATTAAAAAATAATTCTATGGACAATTTAGCTAGACAAGCATTGTTTGCAGCTGAAGTTTTGCATCTTATTCCTACTTCTGATGTTAAGGAGAGGTACAATATTATGATACATTTTCTTAAAATAGTTGATAAGTTAATTTTTGGTTTTTAGAAGTTATTTACATGGAAGAATTGCTGGAAATTCTTTGCTTGGAGCTATGGAGTTGGAGCGTGTTTTACATCATAGGGAAGTTCGTGTGTATGTTGGAACATGGAACATGAATGGACAAGTAATTAATTAAAAAATATCTCTAGCTTTGAAATATCATAATACTTTTATTTTTTTAGGCTCCTCCATTAGAACTGAATGAAATCTTCTTACCTGATACAATTCCTCATCTTCCTGATATTCTTGCCATTGGCACTCAAGAAAGTTATCCTGATAAATTTGAATGGGAAGTAAATATTCAAAAAACTATAGGCCCTTCACATGTTTTATTTCATTCTACTGCCCTTGGAACTTTACATTTAGTTATTTATATTCGAAGAGATTTAATTTGGTTTTGTTCTGGTAAGTTATTTTTTTTATTTAAATTTGAATGAATTGTAGTTGTTTAAATATGAAACTGGAGGTATAATTTTATAAAATTTATTGCTGATGTTTGTTAATTAGTAAGTTAATTAACTAAAATTCCAGATTTATGGTATTTGTTTATTTATTTTATCTAGTTTGCTTGCAGCTTAAGATTTATTTAACTTTTGTGTATGTAATTCAGATAAAAGTATGACTAATGAAAAACTTAATTATATGGCGTAATTGAAATTCTATAAATTTCCCATAAACTAAACCAAAAAGTTAATTATAATGTGCTTAAAAATTTTGATTTTCAATAACAAAATACTTTTAAACATAATTTTATTCATTTTTTTTTCAACAAATGTTGTTTTAACAACTACATATTTCATTAAGTTGTAAAATCTAATACTCTCCAGTCTTTAAATCCACTGGATATCAGAACATTTTTGATAGCAAAAATTTATAGGATCTCAAATATCCGATTTGATGGTAAATTTTGCTGATGTTCTCTGCTTATTCCTCCAATAAATTTTCTCACAAAGTTAAATGGCATATCTCCTAAATAGGTTTGAACTAATAAATTAGGCGGCTGTTTGGAATTTCCCTGGGTTTTTTTCAAACTCAACCTTTTCCACTTTGGATCTGTTGTAGTTATGCATTGAAAAATATTATTTTCGCTCATGTAGGATGTAGTATACATAATTGTCTACAACATAAAGTTGTAGTTAATTACATTTCTTTTGATATTAATTGTTGAATATCCAATTAATAACTATATCATAAAGGCAATTTAATAAAGTATTATATTATATCAAACATTTTTGATTTATTAAAAAAACTACATGCATTATGTAGTATATAATAAATAACAAATTATTGATAACATTTTCAACACAACCTCTTAGTTAATAATTTATATAATCTTAAAACTTATCTTATTTATCACCCATTATTGACCAAAGCTTTTCAAAACAATCCTTTCGGAGTAACTTTGTCAATATATCAGCAATTTGATCCTCTATTCCTACAAACTCTATCTTGAAAACATTTTCTTCAAATTTTTCTTTAATAAAAAGGTAAAATCTTTGTACGTTTGTGAAATTCTACGTTTTTGATTAGTCAAATTACTGATTGATTGTCAATGTATAATGTAGGCTAAATTTTCAATTTTTATGCTGTAAATGTGTTTTATTATCCAAATTATACCTGTTACTGCTTCATTTGCTGCTAAATAATGTTTTATTGACTGATAGGGGTACTAATGTTAATCTTTCATTTTCATGTAATGATTTAATCTCATTGTTCATCACATTAATCAAATTAATTAAATTTTAGCATGAAATAGCTTCTTCATATAATAATGGCTCTGTTTAAATGACTGTACAAAATACTTATCTTGGTGTTTTAATATTTTTCTATCACGTCGCTGCATTTGGTGATCGTTTTGTTGTTGATCTTCTGTTTCTTTTTTTAATTGATATTTGTTCATCTTCTTGATTATTTTGTTCATAATCTACGTGTGCAATCTTCCCGACTGTATTTGTTTTAGTTGTTTACCCAACATACAAGGTATAATATAATAACACTTATGTGTGTAAACTGTATCAAGACAATTCGGTATTAGGACCAACAGGTTTGAGTGCATGGGCATTATGTCCACCTTACTAATAACTAAAACTAAAAAAAAACTTACTCAACATAAAAGTTACAAAAAAATATATCACATTTTCAAAAATTAGCAAATTGTGATTTTTTATAAAACTATTTATGTACTGTAACATGTCTTTGATAGCTATGTTATTTAGTATATAGTTTTTCTGGAATTTCGACTTTGAGTCTTTATTGAAATAAAAACTTTCTGTATGTTATTATTATAGTACATTTTTATACCTATATGTGTATTATTACTAACAAAATTTGTCATAATATATATTGTTTTTTTGTTAAATAAAAAAAAATTTTGTGTTTACTTCTTTAATATTATTATTCTCTAAGTTTAATTTTTAATTTAATCTAATTTAAGTTAATTCAATAAAAATTTACTGAAGTAAATTTTGTAAACATTGCTTTTCCTCTACAACAACAATTTGATATTGGTCAGAAGTTATCAGACCATACTGGAATATTTTTAAAAATAGAGTTGAAAACATTTTTTATGCATGTGTAGATGGTCTTTTTAAAACCTTACTTTTACTAAGGTTTTTCATCGGATTTTTTTAAAAAAACAAATAGAATAAAAACTTATTGTCTCTTGTATATCCTATTAAAACTTCATTAAGATCAGTGATTTTTATAAAAAAAAAAAAGTATTAGCAATTTGAAAATGCCATTTTTTACATTTTTGTAATTTCAAGATTATTTTCTAAATTTCTAAAAATGAGAGGGTTTTCCAATTTTTGGTAACTATAGATTCAATTAAATTAAAATTGGTTGGGTTTGACATATTGATCAATAAAATAGGTTAAGTGATGCTAAGAATTTTATGGACAGACATTAAAAAAACACACGATTAAAAAATTAATGCCTACTCAGCATCACATTAAACTAAAAAAAAGTAGTACTTAAATTTATAAAAAATTACCCATGAAGTTTGTCATAGTAAAATTATTTGTTAATCAATAAATAGAAACTTATATAATAAAAAAATTTAAAGGAACATCACAATGACTTAAAATGACTTATGCCAGTTTATTAATTAAATGTAAACTATCTCTATCCCATAGAATGGAGGCATTGAGAGAGCATTTTCACTTCATTAGATTTTTGACTAATGAGAAGACAACTTTGTCATTAAATATGCTAAATATCTGTTTATTGATTATGCTTTCTTTCTCTCTCTCCCCCAATTGCTTCTATTAAATGCACTTATTATGTTAATAAATTCATTCTATAAATTGTCTTTTAGCTTCTATGTGAAGCTGAGAAGGTATTGATTTTACTATGTGTTTTTTTTTTTTGTGTCTGTTACCACTTTTTCTCAGCTTTCACCAATTGGATTTTTTTCAACGATACGTCAAAAGATCACAAATTATATCTAGTAGAAGACAATACCCTCAAAAAATGAAAAAAATTCCCTTGTTCCCCGTAAATGGGGAAAACCTCCAAAAAAATTACAAATTTAAAAATCGCTAATTTTCAAAATTATTTCAATTTTTTTTACTTAAAACTGCCATAACTTTCTTAAAAATGAACAAATCAGTATAATTTTTTTTTTTAAAAGATTAATAATGTCCTTACCTATTATTTGATATATTTTTTTTATAAATTTGACTCTTTACCTGGCCACAGAAGGGATTTAAAATGATAACTTTTTAACAAAAAATTTACTTTTTCTTGACTTTTGAAAGTGTTCCAGAAAGTCTAACACTTTTATATATATCTTAAATTAAAGCTAATACTTTATTATGGAAAAAAAAATTTCGTACTTTTTGTCTTCACGGTGAAAATGGCTACCAAATGCTATTTTTGTGTGGAAATTCACTGTGTCGCGACCCCCCTGTGCTGGGTTTTTCTTTTCAAATATTTTTGGTTTGTGTTATCTTTATTTTAAAATAAATTACTTGTCACAACCCTACCAATACTTAAATATTAAAAAAATTTAAGGAACTAACAACTTATTGTTTTAAATAAATCAAACATAGTGTATATTAATGATAAATATGATTGCAGTAGCTGAAGATTCAAGTTTTAGTACTAGAACTGGTACAGCATTTAGGACCAAAGGTGCTGTAGCTATCTCATTTTCATTATTTGGATCATCAATGTTATTTATAACATGTCATCTTACTGCACACAAAGAAAAAGTTAAGGAACGTTTACAAGATGTTCACAAAATTGTTAAATCTCTAGATCTTCCTAAGTTGTTTCCCACCAAACATAAAACTAAAGGTAATTGTAAATATTAGCATTTAATATAAAAGAACTAATCAGGATTTATAGTATCAAGGGAAGATTAATCTATTAAAATCTTTCCATATAGTATTTCACTTTTGTGGCCAGTTTTAATTCNTAATAATAAATAAATAAATAAATAAATAAAATCTTTCCATATAGTATTTCACTTTTGTGGCCAGTTTTAATTCCTAGATCAAAATTTCAGAACACTTTGTGATACTATACTCTTCATTTAGTCTTCTTGTTTGCCTTAATCCAAATTCTTCTAATCCATCTAAACATTCTGATCTCTGCTACACTCATTTTCTGCTCTACTCTCTTATCAACTCTGAACCATACATCATAACTGGTCTCACAACATTGTTGTAGATTTTACCTTTTAGCCTCATTGGAATTTATTTATCGCATAAGACACCAGACGCTTATCTCTACTTCAACTACCCGCACTTAATCCTGTGTCTTACATCCTCGTCAATACCACTGCTCTTTTGCACAACTGATCCTAAATACTTAAAACTTTCCACTTCTCCAATCATGTCCTCGCTTATTGTCACCGAACTCCTCATATAACCTACCTCGTGTTCTCCTTTATCAAACTTGTAATCTATTAATTATCATTATTAATATTATATACTATTAAATTACTATTCCTCCATTTATTTGGGATTTTCACTTCTAATAGATTTTATTTAAAAGTTCCTTCAACTTCCTTATGCCAACACCGTCTAATATTTTCCATATTTCTACTGGCACTTCACCTGATCCCACTACTTTATTTTTTTAGCTTAGATGTAAAGCTGAAAAGGTATCAATTTTACTGTGATGAGTTTTTTTTTTTTGTCTATTACCACTTTTTCTCAGCTCTCACTCAACTGATTACTTTCAACGATACATCAAAAGATTACAAATTTAGTCGAAGACCATTACCCTAAAAAATTGAAAAAGGTCCGTTATTCCCCGTAAGTGTGGAAAATCTCCAAAAAAGTTACAAATTTAAAAATTGCTAATTTTTTCAATATTTTTATATTGATTTCAATATAAAAATATTTTTTAATTTCAATATTTAAAACTGCCATAACTTTTTGAAAAATGTATGGATGAGTATAATTTTTTTTTATAGATGCATGATGTCTGTACCTATCATTTGGTAGATTTTTTTTTATAAATCTGATCTTTTTCCTACCCACAGGGGTGGATTCAAAATGACAACTTTGTCACAAAAAATTAACTTTTGAAAGTGTTCTGGAAATACTGATGTGTGTTCTCCTTTATCAAATCCGTATTATATATACTCTGTCTTACTCCTACTTATTAATAAACCCTTTTATTTATGAGCTGATCTCCACACTTCTAACCTTTGATTAATTTCCTCCCTATTGTCTTCTATTGACACTATATCATCAGCAAAATTTCAGAACATTTTGTTATACTATGTTCTTCATTTAGTGGTGGTAATAAAAGGGTTAATAGATGAATCCCCCTTCCCTCCTTACTACATACCTTTTATAAATAAAGAAAAAATGTATTTAGTGCACTATTGATATAGATATTATCATCAAAATTCACATAATATTTAAAATAAGAAATATCAAGTTTTTAATTATGATGCTTATAGTTTTTCTTAATATTAATTGAGATTCAAGTTGACTGTTATCAAATTAATAAAAATTATTTTATGAGCTATTTCATTTATAAACTCAATTTAAAATTTGATGTTTACTAAAAACTAAAACTAAAAATTTTAATTTTGTATCATTAATTTTAAAATATATGTTAAATTAACAAGTTTATTTAGAATAATATATTTTTGTTTCTGATGGGAGTTCCTTGTAGTCCAGTGTATAAAACATATAACTTTGTTAACTGTTATAACTTTATCAAAAATGACCAAATCAGTATATTTTTTTTTTATTTAGATGCATGTCTTTATCTATCATTTGGTTTTTTTTTATAAATCTAACCCTTTACCTGCCCACAAGAGGGATTCAAAATAATAACTTTTTTTTTTTAGTTAAAGTAAATCATTAAAATTAATTCAGGTCTGGATATTTCAATTGTAGAATCTTTTTAAATATCAAAAATTACTTAGAAATGATTACTATGATTTCTATTTAAGTGTTCTATTACGATAAAAATGCAAAAAAATAATGAGTTTTTCTGATAAGTTACAATAAATAATAATTATAAAACTTTCTGACTGCATATTAATCTTAAAAATAACATTGTNCAATTTCCTGACTGCATATTAATCTTAAAAATAACATTGTTTTAATTCTCATCAAATTTTCTATTTAATGATTCATTCTAGTCAACGAAGGAGTAATTTTGGAGAATAGCAGAAAAAATTCCCAACAAACTTTTTTTTTTTTTTTTTTAATTAGGCAATTGGTGGATTATTCCAAAAGCAACATCAACTCTTATTTCTTTAATTATATCATGATTAGTAGTTCTTTGATTTTAAAATATAATATTTGAATATATACTAATTATAATTATTAAATTTAGTATGAAATTGATATTTAATATTGTAATTTAAACGGAGAAATTATAAAAATAATAAAGAAGTTATATTTTGCTTTACTTTTACGTGTATAAAAATTTAAAGGGCTTGATACAATAATTTTCAATAAAAACTGTTTGTTACTATAAAAAAATGCACTGGACTACAAGGAACTTTCATCAGAAGCAAAAATATACTTAAAAAAATCAAAATAAAGAAAATAAAGTTAATCAAACACATCATCCAGCACAATGACTTTATAATTAACATCTTCGAAGGAAAAATAACTGTGAAGAAACCAAGAGGGCATCGAAGGAAATAATATTTTGAAAATATCCTGAAACTCATGTACTGTGGGTCTTTTGTTTTGCTGAAGAATTTGTGGTTAAATAGAGAGGAGTGGCTTCAATGACAAGGCATTGCCTTTAATAGATGATGATGAGTATAACTAGATACAGAAATAATTGCTGTTAATAGTGAAAAAAATATTATAGTGCAAAGTTCTATATTATCACAATTTTTTTATCCTTTATATTCTATAATTAAATATATTTTAAAATAAATATGTGTGTTAAGAATGAAGAAGTATAAATTAAACTATTAAAAGGCAGATATGTTTCAAAACATAACCATTATGTATTATTAAAACCATACTGACACACAATTCCAGAATAAAAAATCGCATAGCTAAAAAAAATGAAATTACAAATTAGTAAATTAATTAAAAATTACAAATTCTAAAAAGAGGAGATGTAACATTGTGGTCACACTATGCTTATCAGTTGTTAAAAAATTACAATTAACTATTAAATTGTTGAATTTGTTATTTTGTATTGTTATTTATAATATTAAGCTATAAAAACTGATTTAATATTTTAGGTTAGTAAAATAAATAAATAATGTTATTACTTAATATGTGTGTTACAAAAAAAAAATCATACTATTTTATTATTCAGTCGTGTAGCTCACTACAATTCTTAAAACAAAAGAAACAAAATTACAAATATATGACACGATTCTACATAGTTTTTGACGTTGGAAAAAATTGATTTAATTTATTATTATTATTTGTTTAAATATAGAGATATTCAACCCAATTAATACTTAAAATTATTTTTTTAATGAGCTATTAACTATGTAATTACTTGCTAATTTAGCGATTATCTCAAAAACTAGAATTAGTCTAAAATTTTTGTGGTCAGAATTGAAATCAACCTTTTAAGTTTTTGTATTTTTATAAGAAAATAGACATAATAAAAAAAATGAAAGTAGAAACTAAATTTTTTAAGTTCATTTTTAATAAAATTATGATTTTTAAATATTATTGTGACCTTTTCCTATGCCGACTTTATGGCACCATTGCTTTGAAACTAGTTGACCCAAACATTTTTTTTTTCAATTATTTTTGGTCTAAAGAAACAGCAAAAAATTTTTAAACAAAATTAAAATACTCAAGGTTAAAAATAAAAATTAAAAAGAAAATATAGATTTTATATAGAAAAACCTATTTGCTAGTAAATTTTAATTTTTTTAGATGTTACCAACAATTTTGATTATGTGTTTTGGTGTGGTGATTTAAATTTTCGTCTCACAAATTCACGACAGGATATTATGAAATGGATTAATGTACATACATTTCCATTAGATTTGCCTATTAACCAATCATTTTCTGATCAACTTACAGAGTGTTTATTAAATGGTTAGTTAAATATAGTCTTAATCTTTAATGTTATTTACTATTAAAATAATTGAGAAATCATTATAGATGTAATTTTTCGTGGATTTCAAGAAGGGCCAATAAAGTTTGCTCCTACATACAAATATGATCCTGGGACTAAAACATTTGATTCTTCTATCAAACAGCGTACTCCATCATATACTGATAGAATTCTATATAAGTGTGGGAAAAGTCCTATTTTATCTAGTACATCAGGTAAAATAATAGTATATATTTTATAAAATGGATGTTTAATGAAGTTACAGTAAACAATTCAGAAATCATTTTTATTAAACATTACAAAATTTATGTTGGTATTATAAATGTTATAATGAATGATCTAATTAACATGCATTTTTATATCAAAAAATAATATGGTGATTATCAGAATTTTTATTAAAATGAATAGTATGACAATAGTAGTAGCAATAGTCATAATTATACAAAAATTTTCTTAGTTTCATGTATTTACTTTACCTAATAAAAAAAAAAATTCGTATCAGTCTTGGATCTATCAGGAAAGTGCTATGTTGAAGTATTTACCATTATTGATTTTATTTTTATACTGCTTGGTTGTTCTTAAGGGATGGTCAGGCTTTAGGCCTCACACTTTTTTATTTATAAAATTAGTCCTTTTATAGTTTTAATTTTATCACAATTATTTTTTCTTAATCTTTAAATGACAATTAAGTATTTATTCATTATTATTATTTAAATAAGCCTAGAATTAAACCAAAATTTAGTTTATTTGTTTTGACTCATCTAACCAATTTGATTAAATCTTGAATCACTGAATAATGATAATAATTTAATAATTTGTTGAATAAGTTTGTATTAGTAAGTATAGACAAACAATAATTCTGTCTTCATAAACCACTTATGGACTTTTTATTATAAACTTTTAAAAAATCATCTTTAAAAGACAAAAAAATTGATTAAAAATTATATTTTGCACTGATTATTTTTAAAATATTAAAAATAAAATCTGTAATAATTTAAAAAAAATTTTTTTGTATTTTTAATTATTTTTTTAACATAATAGATCATTTCAAAATAAAAATTAATAATTTCTATGTAACTCTTGGTGTTTAAATAGATGATACAAATAAAATATTCAGAACTATATTCCTTATAATCATATCCTATAGTTTTTAACTACTTAGTAATAATATCAAAAAAAACCCACCACAAGGGGGTCGTGGCACAGTTGTGACGTGGCATAGTTGGATCAAGTAAAATGATATCTGACAGTGGTTAAAATCACTATCAAAAAAACGCTTCGATGCAAATCTTTAGATATTGTTTTATTTTAAAAAATTGGTGGATTATTCCAATAGCTACATGATCTGCTAGCTCCTTATTAATATCCTGATTAATATAAAGTATGTCGAATGAAAAAGGAATTATTAAAAATATTATTTCTCATAAAAAAATTGTGTTGATCCATACAATTTTCAATAAGTTATAGCATTATAAAGTTAAAAATGTAAAAAATAAAATCGAGAATTTTCACACAAAAATAGCATTTGGTCGCCATTTTCACTGTGAAGATAGGATAAGGTCCGAAATTTTTTTTTCCATAATAAAGTACATTACATTAGCTTTAATTTATAGAATCATTTATAGACTGGTAGTAGCACACACAAATAGAGTTAAAAAATTAATAAATTATAAAGTAAAATTATTTACTCTTGTTGTTGAATACTTTTATCATATCAAATCTAATTCGACAATAAATACTTTAAGAATATTAGAAATTAATGATTTTAATTGTTTGTATGGAAAAATCTGGTTAAGCTACTTTTTATTTGAATAAGGAATATTTTTTCGATTTTTAAGAGTAATAACTTAAACTAAATACGAATTGTAATCATTTGACGTATCGTTGAAAAATGTAGGTCTAGTGAAGATTGGCAAAATAAATCGTAGCCACAAAAATAATCACATAGTATAATATTAACATGAATATAAATTTCTTCTCACGAGGGGATACTATAGTGATAGGATCCTTTATATTTATTGAAATAATTGAATCTAAATGAGATAAATATCAAATGATTTGAAAATTCTATTTTAACTCAAAAAAAATGCAAAATACTAAATGTCAAAGACGGATTTGAAAATCGTACCGTTAGCATGAAATACACAAGCGTTATCGACTCGTTAAATGTTCATTGCTTTCGTCGCTAGATAATATTGGCTATTTAAGATTACTCAAATTTAAAAATTACTTTTTCGACTTTAAAAAAATAAAAAAATTTAATAAGTTTTATTTCTTAAGTCTTATGAACTTTATTTTATGTCAATTAAATTATAAAATTTTCATGAAAGTCAGTGTATTGCCCTTATAAGATATTTTAAAATAAAATAAAATACAAAACCCAGAATTTTAACACAAAAATAGCATATTTTTGAATACGGTAGCCATTTNAGAAATTTTTTTTGCCATAATAAAATGTATTACATCAGCTTTAATTTAAAATATATATAAAAGTGTCAGACCTTCCGGAACACTTTCAAAAGTTAAGTTGAAAAAGTTAATTTTTTGTGAAAAAA